TTACCTATGAAACCAGCCAGAGCCCGCGGAGTTTTAAATTCATCCCTAGGGTGTGCGCAGGGTGGCTTTTCTCATCTTGGACCTCTGCCAGGCCCGACGCATCGAGCTTTAAAGTCCTCTAGAAGCCATTGACGGACATAATTTGTGGTGAAATTGATACAATAGGATCAGAAATGAATGTAGAATAAGTTGGTACCTGTCTCATACCTCTATTCTGTATATGAAAGAAGTCAGAGCCCACCAAGTTTTAAATTCATCCCTAGGGTGTACCAGGGTGTGCCCAGCTGACTGCGGGTCCAAAGATGGAAATTTTGTAGGCGTATCCTGCGCAACTTAGTCAAAAGCGAATTGCAGAGGTAGTGTTTAATTTGCGCAAGCAACGGCTCATCCGTTTTGCGTTGGCAGCAAACCACTAATCATAGTTGTTATGAATATCCAAAAGCATTTATTCAGAACACAAGCCTGGTTTTTACAAACAGTTGAGGTGATCAAGGTCATTCAACGCATATTTGTTATTAACAGCTGGAAGTGTGCAAGGTTATTATCTTTCGTTGTCAGTCAGGGTGAGTTGTTGGGTTTGTGCCTTGATTTCGCATTTTTTTCATGGAAATTATGTATTATGTAGCAAACCCATAAGTTCTGTCTATGTGGCGCTGCTAGGTATATCTGGTAATCTGGCTGTTAATTGTTGAGCATGAGTTGAGCATTTTTTCAAAGATGAAAGAATTCCAATTTACCTGGTTTTGGGGATGAAAATATTTTACCCATTAGGTGTGATTTTCCACCCAAAATTTCCAAAAATGGAACACTGCATCCAGGTCCTGGAATTTGACAAGCACTCTCTTGTTGTTTCGTAGCCTGTGGCATACGGAAATCTGTCCATTTAGTTTGATACCCAATTTTTCTTCAATGACTTTTTGCTAACCTCCCTGGTCTCCTCGGGTGCTTCGTACTTCCCATTTTGAACAGTTGGGAGCCCTCCCCCACTGAGGATGACCGAGTCCCTGCGACTGTAGGTACTGCTCCAGCTCATTCATCGCCCTCTCCATTTCAAACATCTGTTAGTTGAAGCTTTCGTTTTCGTTTTTCAAGGTCTGAATTTCCTCTTCATTTTTTTTTGTCTTCTAGGACTTTTTCATTTTTTCAATACTCATTTCCTTTTTTAATTTTTTTTTCTATAGCTTCCTGCACAATTCCACAAATAGCCTCCTCCTCCATGACACCTCCGGAATTTTTTTCCAACTCCTTAACATTAACAAAAAGAAATAAAGAATTTGAAATCACCAAAAAAATGTTATAGTCAGGCTTCTAATGAAAAAGAAACTTGGTTGATCTTAAACCAAAGAAAATACAAGTAAAAAAAAATAGTTGTGGCCAATTCAGTGCGCCAGAAACGCCAAGAAAATGCTACGGAGCTGGCACATCCGACCGCTATCACGTCCACATCACAACTCGTTGAAAACATTCATGGTATATTAGGCCATTCTGACGCGTTTTAGTGAAAAAAATCAGGCAGCTGATTTTTCCCCCACTGACTTATAATGGAAAGGTCCAGAAATTTATATGACCTTAGGTCATCGATATCAAAATTCCGAGACATACCGATTGTAGCTACCAATGACCTCATTACATCCTGCAACTTTCAAAGAACTCCTTCATCTACTGTAGCTCTGACACGGCGACAAAGTTGCAAAAAAAGTAATTTGAAGTTGGGTCATTCGCAGTGACCTGACCTTGAAAGGAAGGTACCTAGTTCAAATTTGCACACTATGTGTAAAATTGATGAGGGAATAGTTGTATCAAATTTCGCAGCGCTACGCGCCACGGTTTTCCCGCCATTTACGGAAAAGTTCAGGGGGAGGGGGTGGATATCCGATTCCATGACAAAATATCAAAACGCAAAATATCGAAGCGCAAAATGTCGAATGCAAATCATCGAAAGCAAAATATCAAAGTCGTAAAATATCGAAAACAAAAAATATCGAAATCGCAAAATATCGAGTCGCATAATATCTAAATAATATCGAATAGCAAAATATCGAAATGACAAAATTTGGACTCCCAAAATATCGAAGTTGCAAAATATCGAATTGGCAATATATCGTAAGACAAAATATGGAAAAGACAAAATATCGAACGCCAAATATCTAAAAGACAAAATATCGATACCAAAACATTGAAAAGATAAAATATCGAAAGCAAAATAACGAAAGGACAAATTATCAAATGCAGAATATCGAATGGACAAATATTAAATCGAAAAAGCAAAATATAAAAAAGAAAGGATACGCTTCACCAGCGTGGGCAGTGTGAGTCGCTCGATATAGACTATATTATTTAACTTTGAACAAACCTGAAAACCTAAAAACTCGCAACCCGCTTGCGAAGTCCAGTGTGAGGTGTACTTAACCGCGCCCTGTTGGGATCTGTTTATAACGCGACCTGGGGGGGGGGCTATTTTTGCCCCCCCCCCCGTATCTCCGAAACTACTGGACGGATCTGCAAAATTCAAACGGTGTTCGAAAGCCCTGTCAAATTTGTCGAGGAAAATCCAATTTCATTGACCTCGGGGTAACCGATGACGTCACAGGTCAGGTCAAAGATAAAGTGTTTTGTCGTTCACGGGTCTTCTGGGGAATGCGCTACGACACCGAGTAAAACACATTTTATCGAAAATCAGCGACAGGGCGTTGCCTAGTACGGGGACCCGCAGTTGCTACTGTACACGAGCCCCAACTCTAGCCGTCTGTCCTGTCCAGTAACAACCGATAACATTGCTATCGACTGCCGGTCCCTGTGCAAGAGCAGTTGAGGTTTTCTGTGCGTGCCCTCTGACAGAGCATCGTTGTTCCCTGTAAGGGTACTGGTACAATTTACTCAGGGTCGCTGTACAGTAGCAACTGCGGGTCCCCGTACATATGCTGCTATTAGAGGTCACTAATAATACCAGATCAGGTCACCAAAGGTCAGCACATGAACTCAATAAAAACTTCATAAAACCGAGATGGCAGTTTTGTAGCCCTTTAAATTCTACACCTTTTATGTATTTATCATTTTTCTGTATCTTCAAAGCTAGTCTGTCCTGTCCAGTAACAACCGATAATATTGATATCGACTGCCGGTCCCTGTGCAAGAGCAGTTGAGGTTTTCTGTGCGTGCCCTCTGACAGCTTATCGTTGTTCCCTGTAAGGGTACTGGTACAATTTACTCAGGGTCGCTGTACAGTAGCAACTGCGGGTCCCCGTACATATGCTGCTATTAGAGGTCACTAATAATACCAGATCAGGTCACCAAAGGTCAGCACATGAACTCAATAAAAACTTCATAAAACCGAGATGGCGGTTGTAGCCCTTTAAATTCTACACCTTTTATGTATTTATCATTTTTCTGTATCTTCAAAGCTATAGGCCTGAGAGCTCTTCCCACGAAACCTTTGTTGGGTCGAAAACGGCAGAACATGACGTCACTCTGACGTCATTTCCGGCTAACCTATCACAGCCTTTGGAAAAAAATTGGTCACAATGTGTAAAATTGATGCCTGAGAGGGTACTGCAGGTTTGGTGACGATCAGCGCAGCGGTTTTGGAGATATATCAAAAAGTCTGGAGAGGGGCGGGGGCAAAAAATAGCCCCCCCCACCAGGGCGCGGGTTAATGTCGCCAAGCCTAGCCTAGCCTAACCTCTTTGAACTTTTTCTTGCATTTCAAAGCAAAAACTGTCGGAAATGTCAATGCATCAGCAAATGTTTTCAATATTATGCTTTCGATATTGTATCGTTTCGATATTCTGCTATCTATGTTTGGTCTTTTCGATATTCTGTTATCGATATTTTGTCTTTTTGATATTCTGCTTTCGATATTTGTCTTTTCGATATCCAGCATTTGATATTTTGCCTTTTCGATATCCAGCATTTGATATCTATGCTTTTTTATTTAGATATTATGCTTTTCGATATTTTGCAACATCGATTTTTTCCATTTCGATATTATGCTTTTCGATATTTTGCAACATCGATATTTTCCATTTCGATATTTTGCTTTCGATATTTTGTCGCTTCCATATTTTACCTTCGATATTTTGCATTTCGATATTTTATCCGGATACCGGATATCAAACCCCCGTCGGTGCGCGGGTTAAAATATTATGCGTGTTTACTGTTTAATGATAGGTTTTCTGGGTCAAAAGGTGGTATTCATCTTTATTACACAACTCATTGGTTTTACATCGGCAAATATGCAATTTTATGGCATCATATCGTGAGTTTTAAAATAAACATGCATAACAAATATCCGTCTCACTCTGTGCATGACTCTTAAAGGAACTATCCCACCTTCTAAAATGTTGTTAAAACTAGTTAAATTGTGCCCGACTTTATAGATTGGATGACCAGGAACACGGTTCTGGCATTTATTTTTTCATTAAACATCTTAGGCTTCCCATATTCCAAACACAAACTTTCAAATGTGTGACGCCACAGCCCAAAATTACCTCCTTCCCCAGGCCACATTACTGTCATAAAGCTGATTCTTTTTACTCTGTAGGCACCACAACAAAGTTCAGACCAAGTTTTAAGCGATTTTTCAACGAACAAACCCATTTAAATCAGAATGACTAAACGAGGTGACGTCACACTAACGGTCGCTCCATGTTGAAGATAGGGCCTTGCGCAAGGCCCATTTTCAAATGAAGGGAACGAATTTCTTCAACACCAAGAGGCCGCGGGGGTTGCAACCTAGATATACAGTGGTTTCTGAACCTCGCCGCAAACTTGGCTATCTCAACTCAAACCCCATGTTAAAGGTGGGATAGTCCCTTTAAAGCATACCCTCATCAAACATTTGACAGAAAAATGACGAAAAAGCAAATAAAATCCCACTAACAAAGCCCAAGTAATTAGGTTTTTGTTCATCACAACCCTCATTGTTCAGCCCGCTGCGAGATGACAAGGCTAGATCGGCCACTGGCCTGGCCTGGCCTGGCCTGTGGCGTCCGGCCACCCACCTTCCATGTGCAGGGCGCCCGCCAATCGCCTCTGTCGGTCCAGCTCCTCCCGTCGCCTCTTCTTGGAGGAGGAGCCGCGCGTCAGCGTGATCCACGGCGAGCCGATCAGGTGCCGGAACTCGGCTATGGCCGCGCTGATGGAGCTGCCTGCACAGAGGGCGCACAGAGCCACCGTCAGCCACCGCCGCCGGGCCGCGTATTCGCCAAGTGTATTACACGAATCGGCCCACCAACTAGCGACATCTCTAGTGCGACGTCATAACCATCCGACGCGACAATGCATGCATTGAGGCTAGATTTGAGTTGAGACTTTACAACTGTATATGGCTAACAGACATTCCATGTGTCGTAGCCGAGTGGCTAGAGTCTCGCTCTGGTAAGCGAAAGATCGTTAGATCGATTCCTGCCTTAGCGGTTCTTTTCTCTTAAAAAGAAGTCGGTCGTAGACACGCATTTTTGGCCCCTACGTTCGCACACCAATATCGCACGCCCAATAAATCTATGACAAGTATTCATCTGATTAAGGAATAAGTTGCAAAAGAACTGGCTGCAGTTTAATTGCAGTCTGTACCCGAAATACCAATTTTGTTACGGCACTGTCGAGTGTCGATATTCGTCAAAGTCGGAAGTCGGAAGAGCTGTATAGGGTCTGTTCTAGTCGCACTTCCTAACACCCCTAAACTCCTCCAAGATCGCTTCCCTGTTCCAGTGGCAAATCTAGCCCCTACAAAGCCAAGGAGCGCCCTGCTCCAACCTCCTCTATCTTGCTCTTGAGGGAATTTAGAGGTGTTAGGAAGTGCGACTGGAACAGACCCTATGAAACACACTCGAATGACAACGGATTCCTGTATTATTTCATCGATCAGATGAGACATGTATAGAGATAAACCGATGACAGCCCGCCGTGAGCATGCAACATAACAATCAGTTCCGAGTTATCTTCATATACGTCTAATGTAAATATTTTTTACTTAAACCAGATTCCAACTAAGGGGATTTATCCCCCTGGCGGCAGATATGCAAAAGCTATAGTTAGGGCAGATGACGCTCCTTGACGGCTGGAAATTAAGAATTTCATCCCGTGATACGCTAACAGCTATGCCGAAATGTTTTTTTTTTGTATATGGTGATTCTTACACGAAAAACTATCTAATAGCCTACTAACCAGCGTGCAATTTTTTACTTTTCATCTTAGTTTTCACTACTTTTAGGTACTTTACCTTGCCAAGTGCCCACCTATTTTCAAAAGGTCAGCGCCGCCCCTGTCATATCCAGCAAGAGCTGCGTGCTATCACCCATTGGCAGTGAGAAATATTGATCAATGGCCATCGCCCAGCGCCATTTGTCTTTCCATTGGCTACGTTCGCATAGTATGCACTATGCATTAGTGATGTCAATCACAGAAAATCAGAACACCGATACCAAACCAAATTCAAACCAAAACCATTGGAAAATACCGAAACCGAACCGATCGGTTGGACTGCAAATATTTCTCTTATGCAACATATTCATTAGAAGAATACTTACCTCTGATTTCTTAGGTGCGCGCCGTTGCAAATGTATAAAAAAACGCATAATGACAGATCAGTAGGTGGAACTATGGTCATGAGTACCCAAATATAGGAACGTTCCCATTTTTGGGAACTGAGTTCCCAAATGTGGGAACGGGCGTTCCCATTTATGAGAACGGAAGGTAATTTTTCGGCCGTTCGCCCACTAAAACTCATTAGTGCATCACGTCTCAAAAAAGTGCATGCTAATTTAAGTACCTATCTACTAAGTCTCTATAAAATTATCTTTAATCTGACCGTTGAACAAGGAAATTGACCGTCGAATGATATTTTTAACGATTTTTTGAAATGACGGAATGGTGAAAACATGGGTTATACTACATTTAACATGCAATTTTAAGGAAAATGAAGCGTTTTTTTTTACATTTTGAGGTCAAGTACCTATAATAATTTTCGCCTGGTTATGAAGTTTCATACTAGCGACACCAGATGCTGACATATGCAAGCGAACACGCGGACAGTCCCGAGGTAATTGTTCCAGATATTATTCCTTTCTTCAGTCTATTCAATATTCAAAATCACAATATATCACTTCCTGTATTCCATTTTCCATGTCACTCCCAAGTCCCCCCTCGAACCCAGATTTTATCCAAAAACAATCACAATATTTGCGGGAGACATTGCACTGCTCGGCACCTCCATGTTGAGGTCATTTTATAATTGCTAGCAGAACACCGCAAATACACAACATACTCCCCGGGGTGGAAGTCAAGACAATAGTAACACATAATAGTACACAATGACGAGAGCATAGGAGCACGAGCACCCATGCCCCTTCCTGGTGGATTGACTTTCACCATTTGCGCTCACTCAGACCTCTGGAGACGTCTGGCTGGCTGATGCGGCCTCCAAGAGATACAGCTTCTGTATGGGCCGCCTTACGATACCACGCCCAGTGCGCACCGAGGCAGCACGGGATCGTCCATCCCGTCCAGGATGCACGGCACAGATCACGCCAGTTGTCCAGGTCAGGCGATTGGGAGAGGTCTCGCCTTCGATCAGCACGAGATCGCCTGATGTGGGTGCTAGCTCCACTTCAGGTCGGTGCTGATCTCTGAGGTGCCTCAGATATTCACGCTGCCAGCGATTCCACAGGGATTCCATGACTCGGCTCTGGTAACGGCGGCGGCGTGTCAGGCGCTGGGCTTCGCTCTCCCGGACGGGACTCTGACCAGATTCCAGAGAGCAGTGAAGGAAGTCTGACGGTCTCAGCGGTCGCAGGTCATCCGGGTCATCACTGACTTGGGTGAGAGGACGTTCATTGATGGCCCCCTCCACGGAACAGAGCACTGTCTCTAGCTCCTCCCATGAGAGAAGTGCTGCACCAAGTGTGCGGCGCAGCGCGTGCTTCGTAAGTTTCACCATCGACTCCCAGAAGCCGCCCCACCATGGAGCCCGCTCCACGATGAAGCTCCAAGAAACTCCCTCCGTGGCCAGGACGGCAGAGGCGGCCTTGAAGTAGGTGGCATTGTCGCTGATAATGCTGGTCGGACTGAGTCTGCGAGCGGCAAAACGACGGTAGGCGCGGAGGAAGTCTTCCGTCCGCAGGGAACCCACCAGCTCCAGATGCAGGGCGCGCGTGACGGCACAGGTGAAAACCGCTATGTAGACCTTCTCGGGCTCGGATCCAAACGGCCGCTTCACATATAGCGGCCCAGCGTAGTCGATGCCAGTGCAGCTGAAGGGTCGAGCGGCTGTCACCCGGCTCCGAGGCAGAGGAGCCGGTCTCATGGCGAACGGTTGGGCTCGGAACAAGTGGCATTTGCGGCACTGGTTCAGGGAGGCGCGCACGGTTTGCCGCCCCCGGGTGCGATCTCTGATCCAATAGCGATCTCTGATGGCATCCACAACTTGCTGAACTCCAGCGTGACAGAGTTCTTCGTTGATCTTCATAGCCAGGAGATAAACCAGCCGGTGACCAGGCGGGAGAATCACCGGTCGTATCTCCTCTTCTGAGAGACTGGAATACTGAAGTCGTCCATCCTTTCTCAGTATGCCCTCTTCTAGCACGGGGTTGAGAGCCTTCAAGCTCGACTGACGCGGCAGGTCAAGACCCGCTTGGAGGGCATCCAGGTCTTGGCCGTACTCGGTTCGTTGGGCGTCCATGACCCACAGACGCTCAGCGGTGCTGATTTCACTTGTCGACAAAGGACCGCTGATGCTTGTCGCCAAGCTGCGGCCTCGAGCCCATCTTAGCACCCAGGCGGTGATCCTTATCAGCTTCCTCCAGCTGCTGTAGCGGTTGATGTCCATCACTTGTCCGATCCCAGTGGATCTGGCGCGAGTTCCTACCGTTGTGAGCGCCATCTTCTTTGCTTCCACTGTACATTCGGCTGGCTCGTTGCTTGTCGGAGTCTGCGGAGGCCAGACTGAATTGTCGCCTTCCAGCCACTCTGGGCCATGCAGCCAGAGGCTGCTCCTCAGCTGCGCCGCCGGTACTCCTTTGGATGGCAGATCAGCAGGATTCTGATTGCCCGGGACATGCTTCCACAAGGTCGGCGGGCAGAGGCTCTGGATCTCGTTGATTCTGTTTCGCACGTATACTCCCCACCGCTGGGAATTGCTTCTAATCCAGTGAAGCGCTACCATCGAGTCAGTCCAGCAGCCGCTGATTTCGGTGGTGATGTCTAGTTGACTTTGCACGTAGGTGACTAACCGGGCACCGATCACGGCCGCTGTCAGCTCGAGACGAGGCACTGACATGGCTTGGCGTGGGGCGAGACGGGCCTTAGCCATCACCAGAGTGGGCGCGCGTGAGTTGTCTTCCGGTTTGACGTACACAGCTGCTGCCATGGCCTCCATACTGGCGTCGCAGAACATGTGTAGCTGATAGCCGCAGTCCCCGCCGGTCGCGTAGGGACGTGGGATGCTGAAACCGTCGATCTGCTCCAGCTCCAGAAGCCACTTTCTCCAGTCCTTGCGCACGTCACTGGCTACCGTCTGATCCCAGGAATGGCCAGCGATCCATAATCTCTTCAGCAGAAGCTTCGCTCGAACCAGAAAGGGAACAAGAAGGCCAAGCGGGTCGTAAAAGCGCGCTGAGACGCTTAGAATGTTCCGCTTCGTTTCCGGTGCTTCTCGACCGAGCTGCGTCAGAAAGGCAGTTTTGAACACCAGCTGATCGTCCCCTGGGATCCAGCAGATGCCCAGCACTTTACGCTCAGCTGTTGCCTCCTCGCCAAGAGGCTTGTGTGCCTCCTTGTCCGTCTCAAAGCTGTAGGTCCAGTGTCTCATATTCATCTTGGCATCATTGAAGATCTCTTGGGTCCGCTGTGACAGCTCTTCAGCCTCTTCCTGTGTATTCAGGCTGGTGATTAAATCATCACAGTATAGGTCGCGCCGCAGGCGAGCGACCAGCTGTCCGTCTGCCTCCTCATACTGCTGCAGATGTTGACGTACGCTTGCCTGAAGCAGGAATGGCGAAGCGGTCACTCCGAACACCACACGCGTCATGCGGTAGGTGGTGGGGCGGAGATCGGAGGCATCCTTCCTCCACAGGAACCTCGTGACATCCCGGTCATCAGGATGTAGAGCCAGCTGAAGGAATGCCTTCTCAATATCAGCGGTGACTCCGAT